ACAAAGTTCTGGAAAGATGTGGCAGGGGTCCAAACAATGTTGGGATCTGTGGGGCTCACTTCTGCATGGCCCAGGTGACTGGTATACACATGATCCACAGTAGGCATTCAACCCACCTTTGTTTGCTGAAGGACTACATGTAACACAGAGAGCACGAAATGCCTGATGGCAGAACGGCTGACTTCCCCCACTACACTCTGCCTCCATAGGCTCCAGAGAAAGTGGATTAGACTGAAGCCACTCACTGCATATTTAGATTGCCCTTGTTAGAACCGTATACACTGTGGGGCAGTGGCCACACCTCATGAGAGCCTACCCACTGTCCACCTGCCAGCATCCGGCCTCATCTTCTCAAATCAATGTTAAGAAGAAAGGAGAGGTGTGTTTTTCCCCCATCAGATCATTTCAGCTGATAGGAGGATCTTTTCTAAGCCCTCTGGTCTTCTTCCACCCTTAGGTTGAGGCTCCTGGGGTGGGGCTGTGCTCATCTCATCCTTCCGCAGCCCCAGTATGCTCTGGTCAAGCTGTGTTATCCCCCTGCCTGCCTGAGCTAACAGTCTTGGGACAGAATCATGAAGGCTGCTCTCCTCGGAGCCACATGACCAGGCCTGGGAGAGACATACCTGTGTTTTCAACAATTTGCCAGTTGTTTCTGGTCCACAAGAAAAGCCAACAACCTTTAAGTAAAGGATGAGGGAACACTTGCCCATCCTACTGCACCACCCCATTTGGGTGCCTTTCCCAGATTACACAGCACTTAGGCTCCTGCGATTGTTAGCTGTATCCCAGTTATCCCCTGTGTGCATCCAGTGGCCAGGCTAAGTTGTGCTAGGCCAGGGCTGGGGCAGCTATAGCTGGGCTGGGCATGTTTTCATCTGCACTTTCTTTCATTGCTTGAAAGGAAAGCTATGACCTTGACCTTGATCCCAGGAACCTGCCTTTGGCCACATGCTCTATTTTTTGTTATTGTTTTGAGACAAGGTCTCTCTACACAGCCCTGGATGTCCTAGATATCGCTCTGTAGACCAAGCTGGCCATGAACTTACAGAGATCTGCCTGTCTCTGTCTCCTGAGTCCTGGGATTCAAGTCATGGACCACCATGCCTAGTTGGCCACATGCTTTAATGTGAGCCTGGTTCCAGTTTTTGTGAACCACCCTCTGGACTGTAGGCTGATTCCAGGGACTCACTTTGAATGAATATGGCAGAGATAATGGGATGTTACTTCTAAGACTGAGTAATAAAGATGCTGGCCTTGGGGGCAGAGGCATGGCTCAGTTGGTAAAGTGTTTGCCACAAGCATGAAGATCAGAGTTCAATCCCCAGAACCTATATAAAAATTCTGGGTTTGGTGATGCAAGCTTGCCATCCTAGTGCAGGAAGGTGGAGACAGGAAAATCCCTGGGGCTCACTGGCTGACCAGCCTAACCTAATCGGCCAGCTCCATGCCCGTGGGAGATCCTGTCTTATGTTTCTGAGGAGACCTGAGGCTGTCCTCTGGCCTGAGCATTCAAGCACACACATGTGAATTGGTGCTCTCTCGTGCGTGCCCCCCCACACAGACACACAGATACACACACACACACACACACACACACACGATATTAGCTTATTAGTTTTGTCTTGGGTCCTCTCTCTGGGTGATTCCATGTGCATTTGAGAGGCTGGGTGACAATCTCAAGAGGGATCAAGGAAGATGACCCCTCCCTTGGCAGTTCAGGATGATACTGAAGCCCTAGCTGGCGGCAGCCAGTGGCCACGGCTGGACCACTTCTTCCCTCAGAAACCACTTGGTGATCACCACTAGCTGTAACCTGCTAAATCCTGGGAGGTTCACTGAGCATCAAGAGATAAATGAAGGTGTTTCCTCGACTGAGCACCCTCAGATGAGAGTTCCTCCCATATCCCTCTGGACCCTTGAGCCCTGGCTAGACCAGCCAGGCCCAGCTGACACATGTCCTTTAGGCTTTACCAACGCAAATCCATCCTTTGCAAGTTCTGGGTCCCCTAACCAACACATCTGTCTCCCCAGACTCAGTTCAGATGTCACTGCCTCTGAGACACCTCTGGTACTCAGCTGTGCTACAGTATAAGTAGCTCCAATGAAACCAAGTGCCAGGCCTCTGCCTACAGCCTTTGTTCGTAACAGATCTGCTCCCTCCAAGAACTGTGAGGCCCAGAGGGTGGGTCAGAGGCTGCATTACCCTTTGCATCACATCACCTGAGGCTTAGCACAAGATCTGACACAACACGGGCTCTGGGAGAGTTTGATAAATGAATAAACAACCATTGTGAGCAGTTGGTTTCTGCATTGTGGGCACTACATCCCTGCCTCATCTCTGCTGTCGTCTTCCAAGGATGTAGAACTGAACCGGTGGGTTCGGGATACGGCTCAGTGACAGAGGGCTTGCCTAGCATACCCAAGACCCTGGCTCAACTTTAGTACCTTAAAAATAAACAGATACAAACAAACAAAAAATACAGCAGGGGGCTAGAGAGATGACTCAGTGGTCAAGAGCACTGGCTGCTCTTGCAGGGGACCTAGTTTCAGTTCCAAGCACCAACATGGCTGTTCACAACTGTAACTCTAATTCTAAGGGATCTGATGCCCCCTTCCGGCCTCTATGAGTACACAGACATCAGGCAAAGCACCCATATACATAAAGAAAAACTACAACAGAATGTGTTGCCTTCCACAGAAAACTGGTCCTTTTCCCCAACTTTCCCATTTCTTTTCCAGGGAAGAGGAAGTTTCCAGGTAGCCTTTGACCTGTCTTTATATCTCATCACTGTCTTGGGGAAGCACATATTGGCTGCAGCGTTTGTCCCCTGGCACTGTGACACCTCAGCACACACAGCACCATCTCTGAGACTACTTCCCCAGGAAACCTTGCCATCCTATTCATCCCTTCAGGAACAAGAGAACACTACCTAGCTAAGCATAGTGGTGTTCACCTTTAATTCCAGCACTCAGGAGGCAGAGGCAGGCAGATCTCTGCGTGAGTTCCAGGACAGTCAGGGCTCCGCAGAGAAACCATGTCTCAAATGGAAAACCAGGTGGGGGCACTGCCTACTGGTGTCGGGAGGCTGGAGGAAGATGCTTAGGAAGGGTGGGTTTTTATCAGAGCATCCTACTTCCATCCCCACGGAAACATTCTCTAGTTTTACACAGCCCAAATTCTCAGCCTGGCATTTGGGACATCCCAGAACCCCAACCCAACTTCATATTCCAGTGGGAAATAGAAAAGGAAATGACACAGTAGGCTCCCTATATAACAACTCCTGAGAACAGCTCAGCCAACTTTTCCTCACTATCGCATTTAGAGAACTGGTATGCATGACCCATGTCAGGATCAACGACAGACATTTCACATTAAGTTCTTGAATCTCCACACCACCCTATGAAAGATGTCTTTGCAATTGGCCAGGGTCACTGGGCTGATAAGGGGCAGAGCGGCAACCAGAAGCAGGACTTAACTGCCTTTGCAACCTTTCTTGCCAACATGAGGTACCTCCTGCAAACTTCTTGCAAATCGCCTTCATGATTCTTTGTCCTGTGTAAGCATTGCCTGTATTGTTGTTGTTCATGACCATGATTCCATAGATGAAATTGCTACTCCCAATGGTTCCAAGGATGGGCTTTGGAGCCATAGTCCCTGAGTGAGATTCTCATATCCCCTGATAACTGTGTGACCTTCCTCAGTCTCAATTTCCTTCTCAAAAAAAAAACCAGTACTTTCCCTGGGCTATTGCATGCGAGTTTTGTCCTGGGCATGTTTGAGACATGGTAAAAATTGTTCACAGTGAGGCCTAGTTGGCCAGTGCTTGTCCCCATCTCTGAACAGCAAGTGACCATGGACCTATTTGGCTATTGGAATGAGAACTTTAAGGTATGGGTTGTTCCAGGTGGCTGCATTGTGACCTGTTTACAGCCCACCACAATCCATTGTGATGATGGCGATATTCCAAACATTGGCTCCTCCGTCACTCAGCTCCCAGGGGAAGGAATCACACACTGACCCATCATGGTCATGTAGCACGGGGGAGAGATAAGCATTATTGCCTTGCCTGGTCTATACAGACCCAGAACAAGCTCAGTGGATGCTAACAACATCTAACAGTCCATCATGACTTTCTCCTTTTCTTAGACATAAAACTCATCACTTCCACAAATGAACAAGGAAAAAGCATCATTTACCACCCTAAGTAATCACACAGTAATTAAAACAAGGCCTCTGCATCCTCTTACTCCCCAGGGCATCTGTATATGTATATACCTTATATATATACCTGCCACATGAACACAAGCCATTGTCCAGGAAGTGCTAGATACGGGAGTTTGGAAAGTCAGCCGTGGAAAGCCTTGTGGTCACCCCAGACCTCCACCCTTGCCAGCCAGAGGCAAGTCTATCACCATACCTCTGCAGGGCCCCGCCCGGCCCCTTACCTCTGCAGACGGTGCCATTCTCCACAGCTTCGAAGCCTGCCTTGCACATGCAGCGACCGATGGGCACGAGCCATTCGCCATCCCCATTACAGTAGAGTTTGATGGGTACATCCACTTCCTCAGCGTTGGGGATGCAGCTGCCCCGAGCAGCCACCAGTGAGGTGCTCTCGGCCCCTGACAGTGTCTCCTGGAAGATGGCACCATTCTGGATGACTCTGGGGCACTTCCGGTAGAATACACGCACAGCAATGAGGGACATACAGCCACCGTAGTCCTGGAAGGCCAGGTAGAAACCGTTGCGGGACACAGGACCGAAACTTCGCACCTCGGTGTTGATTTTCATAACGCGGCCACCCAGGTCCACCTGGGAGAAGCTTTCATCCGCTGCAATGGTGTCTACTTTCACCCATGGATTCTCCATCCAGTTGGGGAAGGTCTTGGTAGCTAAGTCAAAGTCAGCCTCATAGTAGTAGAGGTTGAAGGTCTCCTTGCAGGAGCCGGGCACGCTGGGAATGCTGCTACAGTCCCGCACTGAGAACTTCATCTCCACGTGGATGCGATGGGCGCCACGGCGCCGGATGAATTTGGTCCGCAGCCAGTTGTTCTGGCTTGACTCAAAGACATTGCACACCTGGTAGGTTCGGATAGTGTTCATGTTCTCGTCGTAGCCGCTCACCTCTTCCCACTGTGGGTGAAACACTAGTCAGATGGGGAGAGTGGAGCTCAGCCACAGCAAAAACAGCATCTGAAGGGAGGGAAGGGGGCAAATCCAGACTGCTTTGGGGAACCCGCCAATCTGATGATGGAGAGATGCTTCCATCTGATGGAGGAGACACTTAAAGAATTCCCCAGTCTATGAGTGCCACACCAATCTGATGGTTAGGGGCGCATACTTTCCTCTTGGCCTGACTGGGATATGTGGCTCTGACTGTTGGGGGTTCACTAATCTGACAAAGAACCACGGAGCTCGGGTTCAGGAGGGTCAAGCAGGCAGGGACTTGGAAGGGGTCTGCAAGGAAGGAGCATTTTCTGATACAAGGAGACAGCTTCATGCAATGGGGAGGGGGACACTGGGAGGATAGGACACAGGACATTGGGCACACATGACTGAGCCTCTACCTCCTGAGAGCTCCCTGTCAGTGAGAAAGATACTGTCTTTGCCCTCTGGAGACTCCCAGTATGATGGAGGAAAATGGCCCATACCCCTACTGGTTAAGGGTGATGAGGAAGCCAGGGTCCTTCCCTAGGACAGCAGCTTCCCTCAGGGGCTTGCACTGACTGAGATCTCTTCTGGGAACTGATGCCTCCACGTACCTGGAAGGAGTTAACTGCACCCCCCCCGCCGCCCTGTCTGAAGAAGGTGCTCAGACACCTCCCTAAATCCCTTCCTGAGTCATAACTAACCAGAGAGACTCTCTAAGTCTCCATGCTGTGGGGGCTGCAGTCACTTCTGCAGACTCGGGTTGGGCTCATCTCCATGGCTGGGCCTCTGTCCAATTCTGCGACTCTCTCAAGTGCCCTTTGTCCATCTTTTCCCCTGTGGTGCTGAGGATAGAACCCGGGACTTGCACATGCTCCACAAGCACTCTGTCACTGTACATTCCCAGGTCTCAAACGCTCTCAAACATCCGGGCCTGTTACGGCACCTGTCCACAGCCTCCTGTGTTTGCATTCACTGACTATCTCTGGGGACAAGGAACACTTAGCCTCTTGGATCTGATCGCCCCAAAAGATTGGAGTGCCTACCCAGGGAAGCTTCCTTCTCTTCCTCCGTGCCCGCCTCCCGGGGTGGGGCTGGTCCTCTCACCCAGGTCAGGCCTGAGGCTAGCACCTTCACAGTGTCTCATTCTTTGTCATGATTCTCCTCTCACCCAGGTCAGGCCTGAGGCTAGCACCTTCACAGTGTCTCATTCTTTGTCATGATTCTCACACGTAGCCTGTGAGCTCCATTTTGCAGGAGGGAGAGATGAGACCAAACAGGTGAGGTCACTTGACTCAAGTCACAGAGTCCTGGTCCTGTCACCAGGCTTGCCCATCTTGCCTCAGAGTAAGCATAAGCACTGTTAATATGTCCCATGAGCTTGGGTAGTTCCTCTCCCCTCTCTGGGCCTTGATTTCCCCATTTGCTAAATGGGACGATGGGGATGTCAGATGATCATGGATGTCAGTGGCTGCTCTTTCAGGATCCTGTGCAGGACCTGGAGGGAGCTAGATGCTGTGAGAGGTCTATGTGCATTGAGAAGCAGAGCCAGCGCTTGCTGGCCCAGCCTCTACCTCAATGGCGACTCTGAAGCTCCCTACATCACATTTAATTTTTTTTTCCTTTTGGTGGCACCATGTGACAAAGTCAGCCCCTTGTTACAACCGCTGCTCTTCCTCAGAACTTAATTAGAGCACTTAATTAGAGCACTCTGCCTTTCTCCCCCTCTCTCTAATTAACATGCGGAGGCCCTGCAGCCCAAACACCCCAAATAATTGCGTCCGGGGGCCCTGCAGCCCAGCCTGGCCTCATTACTGGCAGGGTGGGGCCGTGGGCCCAGCAGTCTTCGCAGATGGAAAACTGGTGACAAGAAAGAGCCACAGAAAGAAGCCTGACCCTGGGGCCCTGCCTATTGAGAGTGAAGCCTGAGGGGGGGCGGGTATGGATCCCTAGGGCTGCAGCTGAGTCCCCGTGGAAGACTGGAGTGGGAAGGGGGGATGGGCTGTAGAGTCCAGGGCCTCCCCCCAGAGACCACAGGAGAGTGGATATTAAAATTGATGGTGTGATGATGACAGTGGTGATGATGATGATGATTTTAGCTGCTCTCTATTGTGGGTAGCCCATGCCAGCCTCTGTGCTGTGCTCTGGGGGAAACCTCTGGTAGCAGTAGTGATGACCACTGTTTCACAGGTAAAGAAACCAGAGTCAGAGCGGCAAAGGGGCTACCCATGGTCTCAGCTGACAGGTGGAATTGGAACAATGCCAGGGAGAGGCAGGAAGGTCCATCTAGCTTCATCTTTTTCTCAGGATACTGGGGGCAAACGCGGGCTCAGACCCTACCCAAGGGATGTGATAAGAGCTCGGGGAAGGGCTGGGAATATAGCTCAGCTGCTAGAGCACTTGCCCAGCATGCACAAGACCCTGGGTTCCATTCCCAGCATTGAACAGAGCCGGTCACAGTGGTGCACACCTGTAATCACAACATCCAGGAAGTAGAGGCAGGAGGAGCAGAAGTTCAATGTCATCCTTAGTTACACAGCTAGTTTGCAGCTAGCCTGTGACACATGAGACTCTTTCTCAAAATAAACATAAAAGAACCCAGGGGTATATGCTCAGGGGATCCTTTTATTACAGAGATCCAGAGTTAGGGTAGTAAGGAGTTGGTCCCCGATACAAACCTGAGTCCTAGTTGGGTTACAGCTCAGTGGTGGAATATTCTTATGAGGCCCTGGGTCTATTCCCCAAGCACCAAAAACCAAACCACAAACAACCCTGAACCCCTTCATTAGAAGAAGCTGTCAGGCCCTGACAAGTGGCCATATCTGAGTTTCTGTATCGGATATGGCCTGTAAAAGGTGCTTGGTGTGGTCTCTGACCAGACAGAACCTTTTTTTGGGGGGGGGGGGTTTCGAGATAGGGTTTCTCTGTATTGTTTTGGAAGCTGTCCTGGACCTCGCTCTTGTAGAACAGGATGGCCTCGAACTCAAAAAGATCCACCTACTTCTGCTTCCCGAGTGCTGGAATTAAAGGCGTGCGCCACCAACGCCCAGCCCAGAACAGAATCTTAAGTGGTGTACTTCCCTCTCCTGAAATGGGTGCCATGTGAGTACCTACTTCTCAGTCTCCCCCTGGGGAATTCTACAGGATAAAGGCTAAAGCATCCACGTGTTGTCATAGGAACGGGTACTCAATCAAGGGTGGGTGGGATGGGGAGGGTGGGATGTGAGAGGCCCAGCCCTTAAGAGAGGAAAAGGGCTGGGATATGAGGGGATGTTTGAGGCATTGGTAGACTCTGGGGCATGCTGGGAGCCAGCCAAGCAAGGTTTGAGGGACCAGAACTCACCCCTGATGGGGGATGCACCATCCAGCCCAGTTCAGCCGTCGCTGTGGTAGAATCCATCAATGTTTCTGTGGGAAGAGCAAAGAGTCACCACCCGCCCCACCTCCCAGTGCTGTCAGTTACTCTGCTGAGCCTGTGATCCCACCCTTCAAGGTTCTCCTTTACAGCATTTCCTCCAACCCTCCAGACCACTTGGCCTGGAAACCCAGCCTCCCTGCTCCACATTCCCCTTACTCCAAAAGCCTAGCCAATTGCTAGAGTCCATTTTCTGCTGCACCCCTCTCTCTGTGGTCATCCCCAAACCCCAGCTAACCACATCTCATTATCTTACCCCTCCTTCCTGGTGAAGGGTCTTTTCTGTCTTGCTTTGTTTTGTTTTGTTCTAGTTAGGGTTTCTCTGTGTAGCTTTGTCTGTTCTAGAACTCACTCAAACTCAGAGATCTGCCTGCCTCTGCCTTGCAAGTTCTGGGATTAAAAGTATGAGCCACTACCACCTAGCCTGGTGGAAGAACTTAATCTAGGGTTCTCTCTTACATGTTCCAGAGGACCCACCACCAATCCCTTCAAATTTTACATCAAAATTCAAGTATCTATTTGCTTTTCAGCTTATATCAAATTCTCAGACACCGGAATGCCAGCCTTGGCTGGGGTCCCTCTTCAACCTCTGGGGACCCACCATTTGCCTTACTGGCCTCGGGACACATGCCGTGTTGGTGCCCTCCCTCTTCTCCAGGAACAAGCAGTCATTCCTTATACCATGTCCCATCCTGGAGTCCCTCCTCCAGTGTCCAGCCAACTCCACCCCAGAATGAAGCCCTGAAGAGGGGAGTGAAGAACAGACTTCAGAGTGTACTTGTCACATGCTCTGTGGGGTTCCAGAGACTCAAAACAGTGTCAGAACCAGTAGCCGGTGGGGAAATCGCCACACAACTCCATAGGCCTTGGAGATCCTGTTATCCCCAGGTCAGAGTCAGTATCCCTCCCTTCTAGTCCTTTCCTACCAAGGGCTGTTAAAACTGAGTTGAACTGTAACACACTGAATTGATTTACACAGATGCTTTCAAACTTCCATTCAACAGATGCATCTTAATGTCTGTTCTATACCAGGCACTGACCTGGGTACTGCAAGAGAGAAAACAATGGCTCGATGGTGAGGAGGCCAGTGAGATGGCTCAGCAGGTAAGGGCACTTGCTGAACGGCCTAAGTCCAATCTCTAGAACCCAAATGAAGGTGGAAGCAGATAGCCAACTCCACAAAATTGTCCTCTAACATGCACATAGAAGCATGGGTTAGCCCCATCATGCACACGCGTGTGCACACCCATACTAACAATGAGTAAGTATTATTTTAAAATACTCTACTATGGAGCAGTTCATAGACTGGAGATGGAGTGTATGAGTATAATTGATATGAAGGAATAGACAGGAGATCTAAAAGTTCATAGCTCCATACCTATGATAGGAGACATACAACTATACTCAATTCTGTGCCCAGTACCCACATTATGGGGCCATCTCTGTCTGTATCCAGTACTCTGTGGCCACTGATTACTTCCTCCACAGAGTTCCTGGAAATGAAAAACAGAGTTGCTTGCCTGGTCTTGCCTAGTAGCCTCACTTTGGAAAGAGGGCATCTGGGCCCCTGGGAGAAGACTGTACACACATTGGTGAAGGACTGGGACACACAGGTGTCTTGCCCCCTCCCTACCATCTACATTTCTAGGCTTGAAACAACTAGTCATCTGGTCTACACTAGATGCACCAGGGCCAGGAGGGTGTCTGGCTGCAGAGAAAGTCCACATGGGAGGCAATGGGGGTGTGAACTATGACACGGTGGTGGAAAGGGAGGAGTGTCTGGGCGGAGGTGACCCCAGCCAGACCTCTGAGCTGACAAGAGAGGCTGCAGAAGAGCCTCATGACTGCCTAGGGCTCAGAGCTTGTGGTCACTGTGTCCTTTCGCGCTTGAGAGGGGGTAGTAGGGGGGGGAGGGTGCCAGGGACTGTGGGAGCCAGTGCCAAGGGCATCCTTTTGATGGCAAATTGGGGGGGAAGTTCCATTGTGTAGCTGTGGAGCTGAAAGAAGGTTCCTTTTCACACTCGAATGCTACAGATTCTTCTTCCTGGAGAGAACAAGGGCTGAACTTTTAACCTGTTTTCTCTCATCGGACTCAGCCAGAGACGCGCCAAGCTGGGCTCTCAGCCTGGGCCCTGCAAGCAGCTGCTGGGGGCAGGGAGAGGGGAGGCTCTCCTGGGACAGAGTGGGGTCGGATGGGAGGCCAGCCCGCCAAGCAGGTGGCCCCACCCCTTGGCTAGATTCCTGGGCTGACCCTAAGGAAAAAGCACTGGAAGATTCTATGGCTTAGAGGAGGAGGGGCTGGGAAGAGATGCTGGAGACTCAGGATGGACCCAGGGGGGTACGAATGACATGCTGCCATGAGGCACACTGTAAAAGCCAGGGCTTAAATCTGGCTCCCCAGAAGCCCTGGGCACTGTCCTCCTCCTGCCCCACTGACCGAGTGGGGCGGGAACCTGCTAAAAGAGTAAACAAGAGGGTGGCCGCTTCCCAGGAAGGAACTGGAGGGGAGTAAAAGGTGCAGGTAGGGCACAAGTGGGGCCCTGGCCCTGATCGTTCCTTACCTGGCTTCACCTCAAACCAGCTTTCTGGGAACCGTGGCCCCCTGGACTTCGGCAGGAGGCAGCACAGGGCTGTTCTCCCCCAAATCCACCTTGGTCTTTTAATTCCAGCACCCCCTTCTGCCCTTTGCTTGTGCAAAGGGAAGTGAGCTGGGCAGGGGCCTTGACTTCTTGTTTAGTTTTTTATGTGATGGAATCTCACCCTGACTGAATCTCACCCTGACTGAATTAGAACTCAGTACAGGACCAGCAAGAAGACTCCGCTGGGAAAAGTACTTGCCACCAAGTTTGATGCTCTGAGTTTGAGCCCCAGGACTCAACACGACAGAAAGAGAAAACTGACTCCCCCAAGTTGTCCTCTGACTCTCATATATATACACCATGGCATGTGCATATGGGTGTATGGATAACACATGTACACTAAAATAATTAAAATGTAAAATTTACAAAAAAAAAAGAAAGGACTCACTATATCATCCAGGCTGGCCTAGAATTAGCAGCAATCCTCCTGCCTCTGACCCCTGAATACTAGGAATACAGGTGCATACCACCATGCTTGGATGAGACCTCAATTTTAACACAGGTTCTCTTTTGAGCTGACTGGCCTTGCAACTGTTTCTCTGTCTCTGACTCTGTCTGTCTCTGTCTCTGTCTCTCTCTCTTTCTGTCTCTCTCTGTCTCTCTGTCTCTGTCTCTGTCTCTGTCTCTGTCTCTCTCTCTCTCTCTCATTGAACCCATGGATTTGCACATGCTAGGCAAACATTCTACCACTAAGCTATATACCCAGTCTTTTTATTTTTAAAGGTTTTGCAATAGTTTCTCAAGCTGGCCTTAAACTTGAAATCCTCGTGCCTTGGGTTCCTGAGGAGCTGGGATTATTGGCACAATGGAACCAAACCCTGCTAAACTTGAGTCTCTCAAAGCTCCATTTTCCTCACCTGAATTCCTTCTGGGTGTGGGCAGGAGGGGGACATGCCAGCCAGAGCCCGTACACCGTAGGTCCTCAAGACATAAGCACTAGCTATTGCCTTAGGTGTAGCATAGGGCCCCCAGGCCCATCCAGTGCCATGCACACTCACCACTCATGAGCCAACCTCTTAGATGAAACACAGGGGAGTCCAAAGGCCTTGAGATTAGTCTGCCTAGCTCTCCTGCTTGCAGAGATGACAAGGCTTGCCAACATCTCACAAGCATCAGACCTCGTGGAACAGCCACAGTCCCCAAGAACCCCTTCCTGCTCCATCTGAGGCTGCTTCCCCAGGACAACCCAGTTTCTTTGTTGTGCTCAGACCTGTCAGAGAAGTCAGGCTCCATGCCCTGGAAATCTGGAAATCATAGCTATTGCCCCAGGCAACTGGGTGGGCTCAAGAAAACAACCCTAAATTCTTTCCCCAGCACTTCCTCTCATAGTACCCTAGACAGCTCTCTAATCCCAAAATCTGCAAAGGGAGAGCAAGCTAAAGTTCACTGAGACCCCATTTAGACCCAGAAGCCAGGCAGGGTCATTGGCATGCCTTAATCCCAGCGTTTGGGAGGAAGATCGGAGTTTGAGGTCATTCTCACCTATATAATGAGTTCCAGGCTAGCCTGAGCTACTGGAGACACTGTTTCATTCAAAACAACAGGCCAGGGAGATGGCTCAATGGTTAAGGTTCTTGCTACCAAGTCTGACACCTTGAATTCAATCCCAGGGACCCACATGGTAGAAGAGAGAACTGGTTCCCAAAAGTTGTCCCTTGACCTCTACATGTGTCTCATATACAAGACAAAAGAAATGCAACACCAAAAAACAAAACAAAAAAACATTGAAAGCAAAATAGCCAAAAACTTGCTCACATCTACATGAAGCCAAGAGGTACTCAATATGTTACCATTTCACAAATAGGAAAACTGAGGCCAGTGGGGACTTAGGAACTTGCCAGGTTGTCCATCTATCCCATGGACAAGCTGCACTGGGGGAGCACAGTCCACGTGGCACAGTCTTACCCACAACTCACATGTACCACTCTCCCCTCTATGTGGCCTTCACCTGCCTCGGTGGCATTCCCGAGTCAGGTCACCTACGAACAAAGCCCTAATGAGCCCACTCACCCCACAGCTCTGCAGCTCAAGGTGTTGAGAGGACCCAGAGATCACAGGAGCCCTTTCCTTGTCTGACACCCCTCTCATTAGCTGTACATCCTTGAAGGGTGGGTTCCACATCCCCAGGACCCAGGAAGGGGCTTGGCACATGAGACATCCCTCATCCCACTTGCCGGGAGTCTGTGCCATCAGCCTTGCAAGTTGGAACCTGTCATGTAGACAGGACTTTGGCCTTCCCACATCCAACCAGAGTGCGAACCACTATGATTCATTTACTTTTCTCCTTCCAATTGACTTTTTTTTTCTTAAGTGCATTTTAAAGAGGAAAAAAGTACCTCATTATTATAAATGGAAAATCGGTATCACTGGCGTTAGAAGAAAGGAAACTAAATATGAGAACTACAATTGCCAACATCCGTCTGCGGGTCACCTAACACCACCTCACAATGCTCACTCTGGGGACCACTGGGTTCCATCAGTCTACCTCACCCTCATGCACACGGTGATGGTGGCAATCCCTCATACAGGGAAACTGCTGTCACTGTACACGGAGAATTAATCACCATGCAGATGTGACAAGGACCATAGCTCAGAATGTGTGAGGTGTGCTGTGGGCTGTGGGAGGTGAGTTTGAGAGGATGGGGGCGGAAGTGCCAGGCTGTGGGGACAGCTTTCTGGAAGAAGAGAAGCATGACGGAGGCTTGAGAGCCAGTTAGGAGGAGCCAGTCAATTCTGGGTGGGTTGGGTTGGGTGTGCTGTCATAGTTTGCTTTCTGTTGCTGTGATAAAACACTGACCAAAACCAACCTTGTGTGTTATGGAATAATCTTTTTGTACACTGTGAAGATGTGACTTTGCCAAGGTGCCTACTGATTGGTTTAATAAAAGAGCTGACTGGCCAATAGCTGGCCGGGTATAGGTTAGGCAGGACTTGCAGACAAAATGAGAGCTCAGGGAAGGAGGAGGGCAGAGTCGACAACCAGATGAAGAGGAAGCCGGAAATGAACGTGCCACGCTGAAAAAAGGTGTGGCCACGCGGTAGAGCATAGATAAGAAACGTGTGTTAACTTAAGATGTAAGAGCTAGTAAGTAACAAGCCTAAGCTATCAGCCAATCATTTATAGCTAATAATAAGTCTCTTGTGTGGTTATTTGCAGAGCTGTTATGAAAAACTCCACCTGCACTTGTGGAAGGAAGGTTTTATTAGGCTTACAGGTTACAGTCCACCACCAAGAGAAGTCAAGTAGGAACTCAAGGCAGGAACATGGAGGCAGGAACTATGTATGACCACGAAATGCTACTAAGTGGCTTGGCTAGCTACCTTTCTCATTGAGCCCAGGAACGGCACTGCCCACAGTGGTCTGGGCCTTCCCACATTAATCAGCAATCAGAAAAATGCCCCCACAGACAAGCCTACATTCAATCTGATGGAGACAGTTCCTCAACTAAGATCTCTCTTCCCGAGTATGACTAGGTCCATGTGAAGTTGACAAAAAACTAAGACAATGGACCAGGTGGAGTGACACCAGAGGCAGAGACAGAGAGGGGAGAAGGAACTTCTTAGCTCATGCGAGCCAGTGGAGGCAGGGCCAGCTGGGTGACACTGGGGGGAGAGGCTCTCTCAAGCTGGGCATGGGTTGGAGCAGGGCTGCCTGTTAAAGGGCAGCAGCTTGCCAAGGTCCTGCCATGCCCAGCAGCCTCATCCTCAGCAGCCTCGTTGGTGTCACCTGCCCAGCTCCCGTTTGACACAGCTGTCCAACTGTCCCCACATCTCCCGGTAACCAGGAAGACCGGTTACCAGGCCTTGACTGAGTGAAGTGCCGTTAAAAACAAAAGGACAACACACAAAGACCCCAGTGGAGTGCTGAGGAAAGAGGCCACACAGATCCTCAGCCATCAGGCAAAAACTGGAACCAGAGTGCGTTTCCTCTGGAGAAAACACGGTTTGGGCCACGGGAGTGGCTCTGGCCCTGGCCCTGCTGTACCGCACCCCCTCTGCTTCCTGGAGACTGCACAGAAGAAAGCAATCAGGAGGCCCTGATTGCACAGGCTGGGGAGGCCCGCCGGCCCCTCCGGCTACGTGTGAATGAGCAGTGTGCATTTCAGAAATATTTGAGCTAAAAGGGGAGACACACTGAAGTCGTTAGCATCAGGCCGATGGGAGGTGGCTGCACGGGGCCCGGGCTCACAGGCTGGGGTAGATGTATGCCCCCTGCTCCTCAACCCACCTCACCAGCTCTGCCCAAGCCCGCATTGGGCTGGAATTCTCTAGGGCCACGTATACTGTTCATCTGCACTAGTGTCCAAGTCCCAAGGACACTATATTAGAGGTTGCCCAAGTCTTTTAGCGCCATTCCAGGCTCCTGGCAACTTACAGGGTCCATGCCCTGGGACCCTACTTTACAGATAAGGAAGCTGATGTCAGACATGGGAAAAGAAGCACACTAGGATGTGGGTACATGTCTGTTCATCTCCACATCTGTGTTATTTCTAAGATGCCAGGACTGTAGCCACAAAAATGAGATAACCCAGAACAAGAAAAAACACTAATGCATGGGTGGTGTGTGTGTGTGTGTGTGTGGTGTGCATTCTCTTCATCTGAGTGGGCAAGATGGGGAGGAGGCACAGATGGCCCAGGTAAACCCTCGGCTCCTCTCGGGACCTCATTTTTTTTGCATCTGTATAATGGATCATTGTAATGCTAGTAGTGATCTGATGTTTCCTGAAGCCCTCACTGTTTTTTAGATGAAGTCTCACCAAACCCTGGCTGCCCTTAAACTCACAATGTTGCCCTGCGCTCTGATCTTTCTGTCTCTACCTCCCAAGTGCTGGGACTGCAGACAAGTGGCATCATATCTAGTTTTATGTGGTGCTAAGGATTGAAACCAGGACTTGGTACATGCTAGGCAACCACTCTCCCAGTTTAGCCGCATCCTCAGCCCTTTTGGAGCCCTCAGTCTGCCTGTTCACTACAGTCCCAGCACTGAGAGCCTGGCATGGGTGGAGACACTGAATCTGTATGGGGCAGCTAGGTGACGAATCTAAAGCCTACATGCCATCACCAATCCTAACACCTCACAGTGTCCCACAGCCTCCCATCGCCAATCCTAACACCCCACAGTGTCCCACAGACTACCAGATAGAGTCCTAGCTCACCTGGCAATAAACACACCCCACACTCCTGACATTCAGGTTAGCTAGCTACCTCACAAGCCACCTTTTCCACCACTCTCAAGGGTTCACTTATCTTGCTTGCAGAAGACACTACTCTTCTCTGAGACTTGATGACTTGACTTTTCCAGAATGTTCTCCCTGGAATGCGTGGCCCTTCCTGCTCTGTTGGCTTGGCTCATTCTCCTCCTTCCTGGCAGCTGTC